TCCTATTTTTAACTGACAAATCCATTTGTTCTCTAGGCTTCCTTAACTTGTTAATCTCACTCCAAAACTTTTTCTTATTTTCAACAAAATTTTGTTGATAACATCTCACCCACTCTCTCATTTGCTCTCTTTTTACATTACTTCACCACTCTCTTAACCTCTCTCTTTTTTTCCATATACTCTTCCCTCCTTGCATCACTTCTACTTTGTAAAAACTTCTCATATGCGTAACTTTTTCTCCCTTACTACTCTCTTTACATCATCATTCCACCAATCGCTCCTCTTCCCTCCCGAACCCACTTTCCTGTAACCACAAACTTTTGCTGAACACTCTAACACTACATTTTTAAACCTACCCCATACCTCTTCGACCCCATTGCCTATGCTCTCATTAGCCCATCTATCCTCCAATAGCTGTTTATATCTTTATCTAACTGCCTCCTCTTTTAGTTTATAAACCTTCACCTCTCTCTTCCCTGATGCTTCTATTCACCTTGTATCCCATCTACCTTTTACTCTCAGTGTAGCTACAACTAGAAAGTGATCTGATATATCTGTGGCCCCTCTATAAACATGTACATCCTGAAGTCTACTCAACAGTCTTTTATCTACCAATACATAATGCAACAAACTACTGTCATTTCGCCCTACATCATATCTTGTATACTTATTTATCCTCTTTTTCTTAAAATATGTATTACTATATATATTATGTATCCTCTTTTTCTTAAAATATGTATTACCTATAACTAAACCCCTTTCTATACGAAGTTCAATCAAAGGGCTCCCATTATCATTTACACCTGGCACCCCAAACTTACCTACCACACCCTCTCTAAAAGTTTCTCCTACTTTAGCATTCAGGTCCCCTACCACAATTACTCTCACTTGGTTCAAATGCTCCTATACATTCACTTAACATCTCCCAAAATCTCTCTCCTCTGCATTCCTCTCTTCTCCAGGTGCATACACGCTTATTATGACCCACTTCTCGCATCCAACCTTTACTTTAATCCACATAATTCTTGCATTTACACATTCATATTCTCTTTTCTCCTTCCATAACTGATCATTCAACATTACTGCTACCCCTTCCTTTGCTCTAACTCTCTCAGATACTCCAGATTTGATCCCATTTATTTCCCCCCACCGAAACTCCCCTACCCCCTTCAGCTTTGTTTCGCTTAGGGCCAGGACATCCAACTTCTTTTCATTCATAACATCAGCAATCATCTGTTTCTTGTCATCCGCACTACATCCACGCACATTCAAGCATCCCAGTTTTATAAAGTTTTTCTTCTTCTCTTTTTTAGTAAATGTGTACAGGAGAAGGGGTTACTAGCCCATTGCTCCCGGCATTTTAGTCACCTTATACGACACGCATGGCTTATGGAGGAAAGATTCTTTTCCACTTCCCCATGGACAATAGAAGGAATAAAGAAGAACAAGAGCTATGTAGAAAAAGGAGAAAAACCTAGATGTATGTACAGTGGACCCCCACATACCGTTGGCATTACATAACGTTAAATCCGCATACCGATACATTTTATCGCTAAGATTTTGCCTCGCATACCGCTAAAAAACCCGCTCAACGCTGTTCGTCCGAGACGCGTATAATGTGCGGCCTGAGCCAGCCTCACATGTTTCGCCGTTGGCATTGTTTACCAGCCAGCCTCATCGGTAACATCCAAGCATACAATCGGAACATTTCGTATTATTACAGTGTTTTTGGTGATTTTATCTGCAAAATAAGTGACCATGGGCCCCAAGAAAGCTTCTAGTGCCAACCCTACAGCAATAAGGGTGAGAATTACTATAGAGATGAAGAAAGAGATCATTGCTAAGTATGAAAGTGGAGTGCATGTCTCCGGGCTGGGCAAGTTGTATAATAAACCCCAATCAACCATCGCTACTATTGTGGGCAACAAAACGGCAATCAAGGAAGCTGTTCTTGCCAAAGGTTCAACTGTGTTTTCGAAACAGAGATCGCAAGTGATGGAAGATGTTGAGAGACTCTTACTGGTATGGATAAATGAAAAACAGATAGCAGGAGATCATAAATGAAAAGGCTAAGAAGTTGCATGAGGATTTAATTAAAAAAATGCCTGCAACTAGTGATGATGTGAGTGAATTTAAGGCCAGCAAAGGTTGGTTTGAGAGATTTAAGAAGCGTAGTGGCATACATAGTGTGATAAGGCATGGTGAGGCTGCCAGTTCGGACCACAAAGCAGCTGAAAAATATGTGCAGGAATTCAAGGAGTACATAGACAGTGAAGGACTGAAACCTGAACAAGTGTTTAATTGTGATGAAACAGGCCTGTTTTGGAAGAAAATGTGTTCCAATGCTAGTGGTGATTGCAAAGTGAAGCCTTTATTAGTGTATCACTCAGAAACTCCCAGAGCGTTCAGGCAAAAGAATATCCTCAAGGCTAATTTGTGTGTGCTGTGGAGGGCAGACAGTGAGGCATGGGTCACTAGGGACTTTTTCTATGACTGGCTACACCATGCATTTGCCCCCAATGTGAAAGATTACCTAACTGAAAAGAAATTAGACCTTAAGTGCCTCCTGGTGTTAGACAATGCCCTAGTCAACCTACAGATGTGGCAGAGCGACTTCATGGGGACATGAGCTTCATTAAGGTGAAGTTTTTGCCTCCTAATACCACTCCTCTCATGCAGCCCATGGACCAGCAGATTATTGCAAACTTCAAAAAACTGTACACAAAAGCTCTGTTTGAAAGGTGCTTTGTAGTGACCTCAGAAACTCAATTGACTCTTAAGAGAGTTTTGGAGAGAGCAAACCTTGGCTTGGGAGGGAGTGACTAAGAGGACCTTGAACTCTGCTTGGAAGAAACTGTGGCCAGAATGTGTAGACCAAAGGGATTTTGAAAGGTTTCAGGCTAACCCTGAGAGGAGTATGCCAGTTGAGGAATCCATTGTGGCATTGGGAAAGTCCTTGGGGTTGGAGGTTAGTGGGGTGGATGTGGAAGAGTTGGAGGAGGAGGACAATGAAGAACTAACCACTGATGAGCTGCTAGATCAACTTCAACAGCAAGAGGCCAGACCTGAGGAAACTGGTTCGTAGGAGGGGAGAGAGAAATTGAAGAAGTTGCCTACTTCAGAGATTAAGGAAATGTGTGGAATGTGGCTTAAAGTGCAAACCTTTTTTGATGACAATCACCCTAACACAGCTATTGCAAGCCGTGCTGGTGACTATTACACTGACACTGTTGTGAAACACTTTAGGGAAGTCATAAAGGAACGAGAGGTACAGGCCACTATGGACAGATATGTTGTGCGACATAAGTCCAGTGACTCTGAAGCTGGTCCTAGTGGCATTAAAAGAAGAAGGGAAGTAACCCCAGAAAAGGACTTGACACCTCAAGTCTTAATGGAAGGGGATTCCCCTTCTAAACACAGACTCTCTCCTCCTCCCATCCCATCAATCATCACCAGATCTTCAATAAAAGTAAGTGTCATGTAACTGTGCATGCCTTTTTCAGTTTGAGTGTATTAAAATTAATATTTCATATGGTAAAAATTTTTTTTTTCATAATTTGGGGTGTCTTGCACGGATTAATTTGATTTCCATTATTTCTTATGGGGAAAATTCATTCGCATGACGATAATTTCTCATAACAATGAGCTCTCAGGAACGGATTAATATCGTTATGTGGGGGTCCACTGTATATATATATGCATGTGCATGTCTGTGAAGTGTGACCAAAGTGTAAGTTGGAGTAGCAAGATATCCCTGTTATCTAGCGTGTTTATGAGACAGAAAAAGAAAACCAGCAATCCTACCATCATGCAAAACAGTTACAGGTTTCTGTTTCACAGTCATCTGGCAGGACGGTAGTATTTCCCTGGGTGGTTGCTGTCTACCAACCTACTACTATGCATATGTACTACAATGGTGGTTTAACTTGGGATTCATAATAGTGAATCTATGAAATTTTTTGGTATGTGGGAACTTACATTTGTCTCTTCTTTCTGAGTATCATTTATCGTGATATTTGTATAGTTTTTGTTTTGTTTCCAGATATTATGTAGCAAGTGTTCTTAGTGTTGATTGTTAGCTTGTTGATTTTCATTCATGTTTTTTAACTCCATGAAAATTAATTTAAAAGAAAGTTATAAATAATAAGTGGAATGGGGTTCAGACTATTAGGAAAAAACACCAAGTCTGCAGAGCATTTCTGGCATGCTAAAGCTGTGACTTATTGTAAGACTTAAAATTAAAAAAAAAAATACATACTATTTTAACATACTGTAGAATAATGTACAATGTACCTCCTTCTGGCATCTGAGCAGTGAACTCAGTAATATTTCATACTGGTTTGCAGATATGCTGTCTTTGGTCTAGTACATGTGACACACTCACGTTTGTGATTTATGTGCAATGTTCAAAACATTCTTTATTAATATTTTTTATCTTAACACAGTTAAAGCTGTTTGTCACACAATCCAGTAACTTCACCATTCATTCTAAATGTACAAGAATGTTTTTGTCTGCCATGTCGGAGAACATAGTATGTGCTTGAGAATTCTGGCACATCAGATTCAAGGGCCTTCTCCATTGTATTGAACTGGCGATATCCTACCAAGACAGGGTGGCCCAAGAAGAAAAACGAAAGTTTCTCTTTTTAAATTTAGTACATGTAATGTATACAGGAGAAGGGGTTACTAGCCCCTTGCTCCTGGCATTTTAGTTGCCTCTTACGACATGCATGGCTTACGAAGGAAGAATTCTGTTCCACTTTCCCATGGAGAATCTGGCATCTTATCAGCCACTATTACTAGACACAAAATACTTTACACTTCCACATTCACTCTAAATGTATTAGTGGTCAAGTGCTGCAATATAATCATTTAAAGTACTTTTGAATTTAACTGTTGCAGTGTAATGTTATCAGTGGAAACTGTTTCAGTTGAATAAAATTGTTCGTGTGTTTTTTGTAGTATTTTCATGCTTAATAAATAAGTCATACTTTGACCAGGTATTGAAGATAATCAACCAGTATCGCCACTCTACTTCCATATTTGATGACTTTTCTCATTACGAGAAACGGCAGGAAGAGACAGAGACTCGTAGGAACCCTGGACCCCCATACAAGGTATGTATGAATCTGAACAGTTTGGGGCATCATCTTGATAGAAATCTTTCTAGAACTAGAATTTTAATATTTAAATATGAGTTATTTTTATTGTCTTTCACTTAATTGATAGTTAATATGGCTTTGATTATGTAATTATGCCTAAGTAGGCTTATAATGCAGAATGATTTACCAATGCTTAAACCTAATAAATAACCATTCCCATCTTTTTAACTACTCAATCATTCAGTTTTAGAGAGGTTTCCTTGTTATGTCTTCAAGATCCTCAAACAACCGTACATATCCAAGCAAGATTACGGAAGATTGCACAGTGTAGCAGTTTACAAGCTTATAATTTAAAATTTAGATCACTCATTTGTGCACAATTTTACTATCAAGATTGTGCATATCACATTACATGGCTACCCTTGATTATATGAGCTCCACTCCTGAGAGGAACCCATAGGAGCCCCAGCACACATTAAGGAGGTCCTCATAGGAACAGTTGCAGGAGTGGGAGAATGTTGAAGCCTCCTCTAAAGCCCTGATTGTGGCCACAGGCATGGAGGTTGCTTCATGGGGGGTTTTCTCTAGATGACCCTGGGAAGCCTATATAGGGCTCATCCTCAGGAACAGTCCCATTCTGCCAGCACATAACCATTTCTTTGTGTGTGTGTGTGTCACAAGGCCTGGTGGCAGGGCAGGCAGAATAGGTGTTACGATTAGTTAGTTGTGAGACATAGAATGGATGAATGCTAACGCTAACCATACACATACAATATCTCCAAAGTCACCCAGGTGTAGGGCAGGCAGGGGGTCAGTAGAAAGTGATCCACAGCAACAGAAAGGGAAGATTTGTTACCATTACTTTATTGTTTGGTTGAGTTTTCCATTAGAGTCTGTTATGATGTTGTATAAACAGTATGTGGCAATAGTTCTTTAAAGCATTTTTAAATGGATTATTTTTGTATCTTTTTTAGTTTCTCTTCAGGTAGGTTGTTCCATGTTTTTGGATCTTTTATTTGTATTTAATTCATTTGTACAAATGGGATACACCTGACGTTAGTATATAAGCGCCAGGCTCCTTACTTCTGCTTCAGAATCTCCACGACTACAGTGCTCTTCGCACCTACTCCTAGGTTGAGGGACTGATTACCTCATCTTCTGTATATAGTCCTACTGTCTTCAAGTTATGTCCTGAAATTTACATTGATAAAGCCACTGGATGGCTAAACGACTACAATAAAGATACCCAGATGTTGCACATGTGTCTTAATTTCATATATATGCTTGTACACATATGTGTAGTGACCTAAGTATAAGTAGAAGTAGCAAGATGTACCTGTAATCTTGCATATTTATGAGACAGGCAGAAGACACCAGCAATCCTACCATCATGTAAAATAATTACAGGCTTTTGTTTTACATTCACTTGGCAGGATGGTAGTAACTCCCTGGGTCATTTCTGTCTACCAACCTACTGCCTAAGATGTTCTTTATCTTTCTTTCAACAAACCAGCCGTATCCCACTGAGGCAGGGTGGCCCAAAAAGAAAAACGAAAGTTTCTCTCTTTAAATTTAGTAATTTATACAGGAGAAGGGGTTACTAGCCCCTTGCTCCCAGCATTTTAGTCGCCTCTTACAACACGCATGGCTTATGGAGGAAGAATTCTGTTCCACTTCCCCATGGAGATAAGAGGAAATAAACAAGAACAAGAACTAGTAAGAAATTAGAAGAAAACCCAGAGGGGTGTGTATATATATGCTTGTACATGCATGTGTAGTGTGACCTAAGTGTAAGTAGAAGTAGCAAAACGTACCTGAAACCTTGCATGTTTATGAGACAGAAAAATGGACACCAGCAATCCTAACATCATGTAAAACAATTACAGGCTTTTGTTTTACACTCACTTGGCAGGATGGTAGTTACTCCCTGGGCAGTTGCTGTCTACCAACCTACTACCTAGGATGTTCTTTATATCCTGTCTTTTTTTTTTTTTTTTTCTTTTCAGAAAAAGAAAAAAGTGTTTTCACTAATTATTATCCTTAGACTCTTCCAATGTTTCTTTCTTTTTTAAAAGTCATCATCCTTTAGTCAGCTATTTCTATTGTGGTTTTATTCTTATGGAGAGTAATATTCTCAATTGTACTTATTTTCTGATAAAATATGTGGAAATTTTCTTAACTTATTAACAGAAGTTCCTCCTTACATTTCCACAACATGATTTCCTCTTTTTCTAATAGTATCAGAACAATATACTCCAGGATTTCTATTCACTGGTTGATGAACCCTGTTTATGAAGCCATTAGATGAAAATATCCCAAATTACAGGAGTGGTGATTGCTGGAACCATCAGTAGGTAGCCACTAGATAGAACCAGTAAGTTTTATCAAGAGAGGATGTGACTATTCCACCATAACAACTCCTGCCAGATTGTGCAACAGAAAATATTTTTTTCTCATGGTGAAGCCTTTAATTCAGCACCTTGAATTGTAACCCCAGTGTAATAACTTCTTTTTCTATGTTGCTGAGTAATAATTTTTCTAATTAATGCGATTTGTTGCTTCATAAGATTATATGACCTAGGCCCTTCAAGTGGGGTGCCTCAATGCAAGGAACTAGAGATACCCTTCATTCTCAGATGAAATCTCTTAACTTTCATTCATCAGACACTGAATGACCTTTATGGGTTTAGTGCTTCCCCATCAAAAAGTAAATTATGTATATTTAGTATGTTTTTGTACAATATTTTCTAATGTGATAGATAAAAAAAATAATGAAATGTTAAAGGTGAGGTGCAAGATCATGTAAAAATATTAAAATATAAATATTAATATACAGTAATAAAATAAATAAACTTAATGAGAAACACTAAACCCATGTGAGTCATTTGTCACAGTAATCGATGGAAACTCAATTCTCCATCCACTCTTGTCATTTTCACACTACCAATTTATACTCACTTAAAGGGTACAATAACTAGTATGAGAAGTATCACTAGATTTAGCATTATCATTATCACAGTATATATTTAGGCTCGAGGGAATATCCTGAGTTATATGAACATAATGTAATTTCTATGTGTTAATAACACCTGTATGCCTTCCAGGCCACAATAAAGCATATACATTTACAAGGAAGTCTTATATTACAATTGTTTCAAGGTGTAATACTCATGGAAACACGGTAATAAGTCACATTGTTTGACTATATTGGGTTATCCTAAGTTAAAGCTACTTAGTGTGCCTATTGGCTGAATTCTATTACAGCCTCTCCTCACTTAGCGACGTACTCGCTTACCGATGACTAGGACCTACGACAGGCTCTCTGACCAATATTCATACCCCAATAATGTATGTTAGAGCTAATTTTTGTATTGTTTATTCCAATATTCAGTACACTACTGTATAAATATTTAAAAAATTACTAAGAATGTTATGAATGGTGCAAAGGTGACATTAAAACAATATCAAAGATGGTTGACACAAACTCACTACCATTATGGTATGCTTGTCGCTTAGTGACGAATTCGTTTACCGACGTGGTCTTAGGAACATAACTCCGTCGTTAAGTGAGGAGAGGCTGTATTAGTATCATGAAATTGTAATAAATCTGCCATGAATAAGATGTCTTTCTGGCAGTTTGACACCATTTGTTGGTAGGGCAACTGGTGGTGGAATGACAGGCCCTGGTTTCATTGCTTCCTTGCCCTAGATAAGTAGTGTTACCCCATGATGCACTGTGTGGACCCACATGGTCTTATTTTTTTCAAAGGCATGAAGAGGTTGTAGGAAACCCAGAAAAGTTGAACTGGTCAAAAATATTGGCAGGTGGCATATTTGAAGTCACAAAAAATTGTGCGTACTAGTACGTCAGCCACACAGTTGTCACCTGCTTGCTAATACGTTGATAACAGTTAAAGGTTAATAAAGTCATTAATAAATTTTCTCTTAAATTTTATATATAGATAGGGATATTTATTATTTAAATACTGTACTAATTGATTGCTGTGTAGATAAAAATTTTTGATAGTTTATTATTTCACCAGGAAATGGAGCGAGATGATCGTCGCAACGATCGCATGGATCATCGAGACCACCGTGACCATCGTGAGCATCCAAGAGACCATCGAGATCATCGAGATAATCGTGACCATTATCATCGTGATCACAGGGATCAGCGTGACCATCGTGACCACCGTGAACACCACAGGGGTGGGATGGGTGGAGGACGTGGACGAGGCGGGCACCATCATCCTCACCACCGTGGTGCACGCAACTAACCATAAACTGAGCCACAGTGTGAAATAAATACTGAGGAATTTATTTCTATGGCACACGAAAACTTTTGAAAAAATAGAGAGAGATTTTGTGGAAAGTCACTGAACCAGGAAAATGGATAATTGAATCTATTTGCAAATTGCTCATTGGTAAAAATGGGTAATTGAAACCCTCAAATGAAGAAGCCTCCAAATTTGCAAGGAATGATTCTTCTAAGCTTGGCACACAACACAGTAACTGGAAATCAGCCAAAAGATTTAGTTGGAAATGTGCTCACTGGATCTCCCATTCTCAGATTTTTTTTATTTGCAGTTACAGTAACAATATTAACGAGGCTAGAGCAATATTTAGAGAGAGAAAGTCACAAACCAGTTGAATAGTTATACCATCCATAGGATTTTACTGATTATGGGCTCAGTTGATTTATCACACCAATTTTTCCAGGTTATGAGAAATCTCAACCAGTGATTAGAAAGAGTTAAAGCACAACAGCAATTCTCCAATGTGCTGTGTTAATCTGATGCCTTTTTTCAATTAATTTTTCTGATTGTCTATCAAATGTGTTAATATTTTGTAAGTGACTTTGTGTATGAGTGGTATGCTCGGTATGTTCATATTTTAGCGGTATAATTTGATCAAAGAATATTGATCTCTTTTTACAGTAGACACACACACACACACACACACACACAACACACACACACACACACACACACACACACACACACACACACACACACACACACACACACACACACACACACACACACACCACACACACATACACACATACACACACATACACACATACACACAATAACACAACACAACATACACACACATACACACATACACACACATACACACATACACACACACACATACACACACATACACACACATCACACACACACACACACACACACACACACACACACACACCACACACACACACACACACACACACACACACACACAACACACCCACACACAAAGACACTGGAGGACAGAAGGGTCAGGGAGACATGATAACGACATACAAGATACTGTGGGGAATAGACAAGGTGGACAGAGATAGGATGTTCCAGAGAGGGGACACAGAAACAAGGGGTCACAACTGGAAGCTGAAGACTCAGACGAGTCACAGGGACGTTAGGAAGTATTTCTTCAGTCATAGAGTCATCAGGAAGTGGAATAGCCTAGCAAGTGAAGTAGTGGAGGCAGGAACCATACATAGTTTTAAGAAGAGGTATGACAAAGCTCAGGAAGCAGAGAGGGAGAGGACCTAGTAGCGATCAGTGAAGAGGCGGGGCCAGGAGCTGAGTCTCGACCCCTGCAACCACAATTAGGTGAGTACACACACACACACACACACACACACACACACACACACACACACACACACACACACACACACACACACACACACACACACACTCACACTCACTCACTCACACTCACTCACACTCACTCACACTCAACTCACTACACTCACTCACACTCACTCACACTCACTCACACTCACTCACATCACACTCACTCACACTCACTCACACTCACACACTCACACACCTCACACTCATACTCATACTCATACTCTCTCTCTCTCTCTCTCTCTTCTCTCTTTCTCCTTACAATCCATAAATCAAAAAACATCCATAGGATTTGGTTTATAATGTATTCACTGGATTTCCCATGCCCAAGTATGTTTTCTAACTTGACTTTCTAATGAACATTTATGTTATTTAAATTCAAGTAATATTTAGAGAGATGTGGGCCCAAACCAGTTGAATAGCCCAATAAACCATAGGATTTTCTGAAAATTGGAACAATCAGTTCCCCCACATCTCAAGGTGTGTTCTCTGTTTTACACATCTTCTTTCAACAAACCAGCCATATCCCACTGAGGCATGGTGGCCCAAGAAGAAAAACGAAAGTTTCTCTTTTTAAATTTAGTAATTTATACAGGAGAAGGGGTTACTAGCCCCTTGCTCCCAGCATTTTAGTCGCTTCTTGCAACATGCATGGCTTACAGAGGAAGAATTCTGCTCTACTTCCCCATGGAGATAAGAGGAAATACACAAGAACAAGAACTAGAAAGAAAATAGAAGAAAACTCAGTGGGGTGTGTATATGTATATATCTTTCTTTCTTTCAACACACTAGCTGTATCCCACCAAGGTGGGGTGGCCCAAAAGGAAAAACGAAATTTTCTCCTTTTACATTTAGTAATATATACAGGAGAAGGGGTTACTAGCCCCTTGCTCCCGGCATTTTAGTCGCCTCTTACAACACGCATTGCTTACGGAGGAAGAATTCTGTTCCACTTCCCCATGGAGGTAAGAGGAAATGAACAAGAACTAGAAAGAAAATAGAAGAAAACCCAAAAGGGTGTGTATATATATGCTTGTACATGTATGTGTAGTGTGACCTAAGTGTGAGTAGTAGTAGCAAGACGTACCTGAAATCTTGCATGTTTATGAGACAGAAAAAAAGGACACCACCAATCCTACCATCATGTAAAACAGTTACAGGCTTTAGTTTTGCACTCAGCAGGATGGTAGTACCTCCCTGGGCTGGCTTCACCTGGTGCTGTGCATAAATCTTGATTTAAAATTCAGTTATAGGTTTTTTCTAAAATTGTGTAACCCCCCCCCCTACACCCTAAATAATCTATAGCTGTTGGTGTGTCAGCAAGGTAATATTTTGTGATGGGAGTCAGGGAAACCAGTTGGACTTGAGTCCTGGAAGTGAGAAGTACAGTGCCTGAATTCTAAAGGGGTGGGGATATTTGCAGTTTCAGGGGCATCTGAATTGTAGTGTCTATGCACCTCTGGCAAGACAGGGATGGAGTGAATGATGATGAAAGCATTTCTTTTTTGGGTGGCCATAGCTTGGTGGGAGATGGTCGGTTTTGAACTGTAGTATCAGTGTGCCTCTGGCAAGACAGTGATGGAGTGAATGATAGTGAAAGTCTTTCTTCTTTTTTAGGTTACCCTACCTCGGTGGAAGACGGCTGGTGTGTTAAAAATATCTATATCTATCCTCATCCCTCCATCAAATTGCAAGTACTGTACTTCCCACCTCCAGGACCTCAAATCAGGCTAACTGATGTTCCTGAATCCCTTCATAAACAATCTTGTTCACACTCCAACAGTTCATCAGGTCCCAATAGTTGTTTGTCTCAGCTCACTCCTACCAGCTGTATGTCCAAGCCCCTTGCACAGAAAACCTCCTTTATCCCCTTCCAACATTTCCTAGTGCGACCCCTACCTCGCTTTCCCTCCACTACAAATTTAAACGCCCTTCATATCATCCTGTTTTGCTCAGTCGTCCTCTTCTTTTTAACTGGTTTTATAGGGTTAGGTTAAGGGTTCCTATATTTACACGCTAAGAGTTTTTACCTGCATAAGCTCATTTTAAAGCCTTTTTATTGTTAAGAGACATACGAATAGAGAACAGGATGAAGTTGGAGCCTCTCTTCCTTAAGTTAGAGGTGGTGCTAGCTAGTCTGAGTATCTGCTCAGTAATCTCAGACTCACCTTATCTAGGCTCACAGCCATTAGAGTGCAGACACTGCTTTTTTTTCACCTCCAGGACTCAAGACTGGCTACCTGTTTTCATGAATCCTTTCATAAAAGTTGCCTTGCTCTCTCTCTTTTTTTATTCACAAAGTGAAAGAATCAGTGATTTTTCTGATATTTGATTATGAAATACCATAATTTTTATATACAGAAAAATTAAGGTATTTCATGTGGTATGCTATTTTTTTTTTTTTTTTTTTTTTTTTTTACTAATCTCAAAAATGTGGATTTTTTGTGATGCCAATTATCTTTTTGATGTCAGTGCTTACAAAATTATAGCAATGTTTAAAGAGAGATGACCTTTGAAGCATAAAAGCCAAAATCTGAAAACAAAATCTATTACATGGGCAGCATTTATGTTTATGTATTCGCCTTAATAGTGACTTGTTCATTTTTGTGGTCAGCTTATATGGTGGATAAAGAAGGCCTGTCAGAATTTATAGCTGAAAATTTAGGTGGGCTTATACACCAGGTTGACGGGTAGCTTGCAGTTTATGTTAATAGATTTCTACACAGTTGTTAGTGTTGTAGTAATCCAGATACCTTTTTTGTTGAAGGTCATAAGAATATTAGTAATTATAACACTGGTGCCTAGAAGCCTTGAAGAAAAGGACCAATGCCTAAAGTGAAAAACCACAAATCGGATTATTGTACAATATTGAACAGCTCAATTGTTGACAGTTGCATAGTTTTTGGCCTTAAAAAATGTTCCTATGAATAGTATCATTGCCACAAATTGCAGGATGGAACAAATTGATCATTATAGGGTTCCTATGGACAGTATCATTGGCATAATTTGCAACAAGATGGAACATATTTATCTCTGATTATATTGTTATTGAGTATAATGTAGAAAGGGATAGGTTAGCCATTTCATAGACATATCACTTTTTGTGGTTGGTGGCAATGGTCATATTATAATGTGGGTAATTATTTTAATTAAAAAATTCACTTATTGTCAAATGCTATTTCATTTAATGTAGTATTGGTATTAACAGTACAAGGTTCAAGTTGAAATCTGTTGAGGGTTCAGGTATTTCATTGAACGAAATTTCAGTGAGAAGCCTCAAAATCTAGTAGTCCTCAGGAATATAACAGTGATTTTGAAAAAAATGTTGGAGGTAGAATTGTAGTTGGCAGTCTTCTATGGTAGTGTAATTCTATATTAATACTATATATTATAGTAAATTTACCAAAACAGAGTGTATTGTAAAGAAAATTTTGGACGAGAGCCAAGAGTTACAAAAATTTGTGGGTACATTGGCAAGGTTTCTGTGTATATGATTGATGGTGGATAGAGCTTTGTGGGGGGCAGAGCGGTGCGGTTGTGTGGTCTTGGCAGGTCCCACCTGTGGGAATACAATGTTCATCAATAAAACAAAATGTACACAGGAACTTTAGAGTCTCCTTGTAGCCTTCCTAAACAGTGCCTTATAATGTAGATGGTGGAGTGAACAAATGATATGTTGTTTTTATAGTATTTAGTG